CCTCAGCCTTCCAAGTAGCCGGAATTACAAGCATGTGCTACCATGCCCAGCTGATTTTTTTTTATTTATTGTAGAGATGAGGTCTCATTGCCCAGGCGGGTCTCGAACCTGCGGGCTCAGGCGATCTACTCACCTCAGCCTCCCAAAGGCGCGGGATTACAGGCTGAACCACTGAGCCCAGCTGTAAAATGTAATTTAAACAAAGTCTGAACAGTCCTGGTAAGTTACGCTCTCAGCCAGGCCTCCAGAATGCTAGGTCAGGCCCCCCTAAAATGTGGGTGTCTGGTGTGCCATCCGGTGCTACAAGAAAGATGCCAAGAATTGCACAGAAATTAGATTAGAAGATACAGTTTACTTAAAAAGTACATTAGAGAGAGAGAGAGTGATAGAAAGTCACCTTTCCAAGGTAGAGGAGGAGGCCAAAGTCAGGAAACATGGCGACAGCCATTGCTCAAAATGCACTGGCCACACCAGAGTGTAGTCGTGGTGGCTGGCTGCTAGTGGTTGAGCCCTTTTAACCCTTCCCTTTGATGGGGGAAGGTTGTTAAGGCGATTGGGTGGTGGTCTGCTCCACACCCACCACAAAGGGGCAGGTAAGCACAGGTACTGACATCAGGTGACAGCAGGCAAGCAGGTGGGGTGAGTCACCACTGCCATGGTGGTGGCGACTGTGTGTCACGGAGGGCTGGTTGGGTTAACTTGGGTCTTATGAGTGATGGCAAATACTTGGAATAGAAAAGCTAATTACTAACAAGCTGACAACTATCAACAGCTACCTCTTAGAAAAGGATTCTGTCCTTGGCTAGTGATTAGAGGGTGAGTTACGTGAACCTCCAGAAACACATGAGATTCAGGCAGTTTTCAAATGGCTGCGCATTGGGTATTTTAAATCCATGTTGTATCCTCTGAAGTCCTGAAACATGCCTACAGACAATTCAATCAGTTGTTGTCTAACCTGTGTTAGCTACCTTGCCTCAAATCCACCTGGAGCAGGGTCTGCAGCCCAGGAAAGGGCCACAGATCTCAGCAGAGCAGGCCTGTGACCCGAGGTGTGGGTTTCTGGCCGTTCCCTGTGGGCACTGAGTGTGGAGGCCCCCGTGGGGCCGGGCAGGGCCCTGAATGGGGACAGTGAGGTCTGGCAGTTGCTGTCATGGGGTGGGGAGACTCCCAGGCCGGGTAAAGTCCCAAGGAACCCTCCACCCCGAGACAGGAGAAGTGCGTCAGTTGATAAGTGTCCTGACCTGGGTTCTGGGACAGGGAGCACCCTCCATCCCCCTGCGCCCTCTGTGCTTCCTCCCACCCTGTCCCGGTGTAACATGACACTCAGGAATTGGTTCCACCCTCCTGGGTCCCCAGCCAACTCCCAATTTGCCAAACGCCAGGGAAAAAAAGGCTGAGAAATCGAAACTACCGGGAAGGACCCCCTGAGCAGCTTCGCCGCATCTGGACCAACGGCGGTTCCTGTCCTCACGCCATGAACCACACTTCCCAGACCTTCACTTGGGCCCGCGCCGGCGCCGCCTCAAACTATGAGGTGCTCAAGGAGGAGCACGGAGGGGCCGTGCTGGGGACATCCCACAGCTCTGCTCTCACGACGTCCACCGTGATCCACGTCCACAGCGACCCCTCCGTCCCTGACCACGTCGTCTGGTCCCTGTTCAACACGCTCTTCCTGAACGTCTGCTGTCTGGGCTTCATCGCCTTCGCCTACTCCGTGAAGGTGCATGTGGGCCCCTGGGGGTGTCCGAGAAGGTGCCTGTGAGCCGGGCAGCTCCACCGGCCCGGGACGGCCTGGGGTGAGGCTGTATGTCTTTGGGTGTGTGAGCTTGCCTGTCCCCTCCTCTGCATGTGTGTAGACCTCCGTGGGGGCTCGGGGATCCTCCAAGCCAGGACCAGGAAGAGCGGGCTGGGTCAAACTCTGTGCCCACCCCCAGCCCGATGAATTCTCCCTACAGCCGCCAACCAGAAATGACAGGACAGACCGTGGCACCCCAGGCCCTCTCAGAAAGTGCAAAGGAACCCAGGGAGGAGGGAGGATGAGCCCTGAGGCTGCGGGAGAGTCCAGAGTGTGAGCAAGGGAGGAGTGGTCCTGAATCTCCAGGAAGGGCAGGGGGAGCCCCCCAGGGTGGGGAGAAGCTGGAGCCCCTGAGCCACAGGACCCCGCTCTCCCCTGAGCCGCTCCCGGTGCCCGCGCCCTCTCGTCTCCCCAGGCGAGGGACAGGAAGATGGTGGGCGACGTGACCGGGGCCCAGGCCTACGCCTCCACCGCCAAGTGCCTGAACGTCTGGGCCCTGATCCTGGGCATCCTTGGGACCGTTGGCGTCATCCTCGTTCCAGTCTTGATCTTCGTGGCGTTTCAGTAGACGGTGAGGCCACGTGGAGTTCCTCATCGCCGCCGCGAGGCCCACGTGCCCAACCTTCCGTTCTCTTCCCCTTGCCTCGGCCCCTTCTACAGCAGTTTGTACTCACACACTTTTCTACAGTGGCGGTCAATAAAGTGCAAGTGTTGAGACGCGATGGTGCTGCAACTTCGCCTGGGGAGGGGGCACTGCTGAGGGGCCTGGCCTGGTCCTTGGACGGAGCCACACCTGGGCTCAGCCCCACCCACCTCGGTGCAGCTCTGAGAGGGCCCCGTGTTCGGGCAGCAGCTGCACCCAAGTTCCTGGCTGGCTTCCCGGTGTCCTGGAGGCTCTGAGCCCTGTCTCAAGTCGGGCCCGTTTTGGGATGGCTGCTACTGGGTTCAGGAAGCCCTTAGCCCCAAGCCAACCTCTGTTCTAGTCACCCTGCCAGCCTGTCTTTTCAGGAGAGAAGGAAGAGTTTAAACTCCCCGAGGGGACATGGAGCATTGTAGCCACACCATGAGTCAGGAGTTGCCAGCATGCTGAGAGAGAAATATTGAGTCCTTTATTGCCAGTGGTGGACAGGAGGCTCATGCCAGAAAGAAACTCTTGACCCCAAATGGAGCAAGCAAGGGGGTTATCAAGGCCAAAATTGTAATTTCATCAGAGTCGGGTGGGGTGCATGCAGGAAATTTCGGTTACAGAACCGAGCAGTTTATCTCAAGCAGTTACAGAACAGCTTATCTGGGCTCTCTGTCAGGCAGGATGTGGTTAACCCTTTACTAGAAGGTTGGGGCAGTCACATGGAGGAGGGGTGAGAGGGGGAACTGAGAGGCACAATGGGGGATTCGCTTGACTTGGAGTCGCCACAGTAGGTTTGTGAACAGGCATTCCAGGAGGGGGCAGAGGGCACCGCTCCCCGACCGGCTCCCTGGCTCTGCTCTGAGGTGCTGGGCCACGGCTCAGTTCCTGCGGTGGAGGGAGCGGCAGGGAGCCTGGCCCAGGTAAGGTGGGAGGCCGGGGCTTCATGTCTGGGGGAGCAGGAGAAGGACCCCGGCCCTCGCGGCCCTTCCTGGGGGACTCAGCTCTTCTCTGTCCTGGCTGCTGCCTCCCAGTGTCCCTGTTGCCCTGGAGGGAGGGGCGGTGGAGGAGAGAAGTGGCCTTCCTAAGTCACCATGGCTCTCCTGTCTGTCCACCTGGAAGGAGACCACGCCCTGGCCTGGAGTCAGCTCCATTCCCTGGGTTGTCTGGTGTGGACCTTGGGGGTGCCCGTGTGCTGACCCCGTCCGTGACCAGCTGGACAGCTGGGGAGCCAGGTGCACCCCTTCCCTCTGCCCATCTGGGACCCCAGGCCTGGGCCAACCCGCGCTTCCCTGCCCTCTCCCGCCAAGGAGCAGGACTCTGGGACCTAACAGGGCAGGTCCAGATGGCCTGGGGACACCGATAAGGCAAGGCCCTCCTGGGGGGCGGCCCCCTGAAGGTGGACCTCTGAGCTCTGAGGGATCTGCTAGGAGCTGAGTCCTGGGTGGTGAGGTAGCGGACCTGACCCAACCAAGGCAGAACTCAGGGAAGTACCCAGCTGGCCCAGTGCAGGTCCAGGAAGGGCTTCCACCAAGTGGCCAGGCCAGGGCTCCTGAGCAGTGCAGGAACCTCAGAGCCACAGGCTGTGCGGTGAGGCCGGGGCTCACTAGGGCCTAACCCCTCCCCTCTGCCAAGGTTCCCTCTGTCAGCTACCCCTGCGCTGTCTCCACTTCCTTGTCACCCAGTGGGGGTGCCTCTATTTTCAGGCCCTGACTGGGGCGGGTTCCTGGAGACCTTGCCCTGGGAATTGTGTGTCCATATGTGCTTGTCTCTGAAATTGCTCCGACCACCCACCCCACCCCAGAGCCCCACGGAGGTGTTCGTGCCAACTCCACTGTGGGCGCAGGAGGTTCAAGCCTGGATCCCAGGATGGCGTATTTAAGGCTGAACACCCGTCAGCTGACTCTGCTCCAGGGAGGGCCAGCCTTCCTCAGGACAATACCTCCTCCAAGGCCTCTCTGCCCAGCAGGACTGATGCTGGGAACTGTGGTGCCAGACCCGCGGAGACCCCAAGGGGTGGAAGATACGACCCGGACTTTACAGAAACTTACAGGGAAAGTGGTCCAGGAGTGGCAGGCTAGCCTGGGAAATCCACTCCCAACTGGAAAAGACACACAGACGGAAGAGGAAGAGGCCGGAGCCCAGGAGGAGGGGCCCTGCCACACCAAGGCTGCAGACTCCATCATACCCTTCTGTCCCTCCCAAGGGTCATGCGGCCTGTGCTTGGGTGATGGGCCCAGGGCAAAGGGGAAGCAAGGCTGGACACAGGGGCCAGGTCCTTGGCGCATGGAGGAAGGCAGGAAGGTTTACCTCAACACAGAGCGGCTTGCCCAAGGTCTTTCACCTTTCTGCCTCCACTTAGTTACAGAGAAGCTGTGTCACCTTCCTGCCGTTTCTTATCAACTGCAGAAAAGCAGCACAAGACCACCCCTAGGCAGACCTTCCCCCGAGTATAGTTCCTACCTTTCAGGTTCATGCAGCTTCCAGGGAGAACAGTTTCCAAGTCCTTCTGTCTCTCCCATCCACTCATACGCCCAGCCGTCTGTGGACCCCTCCGTAGAATAACCGTTCCTCCCTGTCCCGTAACCTCTTTTACCAGAAACCAAACTGCTTTTCTTCATGTAACCGCCAGACAGTATTTAAGTTTCTGTAACTCACTGGGAATTTGGGGCTTCATTCTGAAGTCTCCCGTGTATACATGTTCACTATAATTTCTGGAGTAGCGGGGGGTGGGGGAGACACAATGTCAGTAAGGGTACCTGATCTCAAACCAGGCAAAGTGTGGACCAAGCGGAGGCCCAAACTTCACCTGTACGATGGCCACTTGTATCCCTAATCCTGAGTTGTACCCCACATCTTTAAAATTAAAAAATAAAAAAATAATAATTTCTTTTTTTTTTTGAGTTAGAGCCTCACTCAGTCTCCCAGACTGGAGTGCAGTGGCCGCTCCTGGCCACCGCAGCCTCGACCTGTTGGGCTCTGGAGATCCTTCTACCTCAGCCTTCGAAGGAGCTGGAACTACAGGCGTGTGCTACCATGCCCGGCTAATTTTTTTGATTTATTGTGGAGATGAGGTCTTGCCAAGTTGCCCAGGCAGGTCTCAAACCTACGGGCTTAGGCAATTCACTCACCTCGGCCTCCCAAAGCACGGGATTACAGGCTGAGCCACAGAGCCCAGCCTCACTTATGCATCTTTTTTTTTTTTGAGTTGGAGTCTCACTCTGTGGCCCAGACCGGAGTGCAGTGGCCACTCCCAGCTACCGCAGCCTTGACCCGCTGGGCTCCGGTGATCCTTCCGCCTCAGCCTTCCCAGTAGCCGGAACTACAGGCATGCGCTACCACGCCCGGCTGATTTTTTTATTTATTGTAGAAATGAATTTTTTTTTTTTTTCACCCCCCGTCTCAAACTCGCGGGGCTCAGGCAATCCACTCACCTCAGCCTCCCAAAGGCGCGGGATGACAGGCTGAGCCACCGAGCCCGGCTAAAAAATAATAATTTCTATGCCTTTTCTCCTATGAATCAGTCTTGCCTCAATCAGCGATTTTTTGATTGAACCTTTAGAAGGCCAAGGGCCCCGAACCCACACACGTAAACCATCGTCCTGACCACTGGAGCATGAGGGCACTTGAGGACCAAGGAGCATGCGGTAGCAGCCATGGACCCCCCAGGCATTTCCCATTTTCCACGTGTGTCATTGGAATAGAGAGAAGTGGGGGTGAGCACAGCCCCGCATGGGCCGGGGTCTGGGGGGCAATAGCTGTTGTCCTGGGGATGACCAGGTGGCAACTCGGGAACGGCTTGAACGGCTTCCACCACCTATCCCACCCGGAGCGGAAACCAAGTGCAGTGGGACGGAGAGCAGGAAGAAATGCCACCCTAAGGGCCTAGTGAGCACAGGGGGCTGGTGCTGGAACGCTCCCGTTCCCTACCAATCCAGCCCGGCGGGATGAATGGACCCTGGTGTGAGGCAATGAACAGTGAGGACCAACCAGTGGGAGCCCAGGTGCCCTCGGCCAGATGGAGACAGGGTCAGCCTGGGGTCTGGGGCTGCGGGCGTCGACCTAGTGAAGGCGGCCTCTTCCGTTTGATCCTCACAGAGGGACGGGGCCACCAAGTGACCCTGAGGCAGCATGGCCCACCACAGGCAGGGTCCTGCCAGACCCCCAAGTCAGAGCCTGAGGTGGGCCCAGCAAGAATGCACTGGAGGTGGAAGTGGAACATCCTGGACGGAACACACAGGCGGCCCTGACACCTCGTCATCCACCACAGTTTCCCAAAGCCTGTCCCTCTGCTCACGCCTGGGCCTGCAGGGGGGACTCCAGGGGCTGGGTGACGGAGAAGGTCCAGGCTGGTTTTCCACGGGTCCGCTCAGTGCGCGGCTGCATCAGGGCCTGGGGTGGGACTTCCCTCCTGCCCCATCAGTGGCCTCACGGGTGGGGGCAATGTCCCCATGGCAGAACCAGACACAGATCCAGGCCTGTCCTCTGTGCATAGAGAGACATAGCCAGGGATAGAACGTGTGTGGAGGCCGGACACAGTGAACTCCAGCAGAAGGAAGAGAAAATGTAAGAAACCTGCCTGAGGATGGACTCCAGGAAGTGGCATTTCTTTTTTTTTTGAGTTGGAGTCTCACTCTGTCGCCCAGACTGGAGTGCAGTGGCTGCTCCTGGCCACCGCAGCCTTGACCTGCTGGGCTCTGGCGATCCTTCCGCTTCAACCTTCCAAGTAGCTGGAACTACAGGTAGCTACCACGCCCGGCTAATATTTGACTTATTGTAGAGATGAGGTCTCGCCAAGTTGCCCAGGCAGGTGTTGAACCCGTGAGCTCAGGCAATCCACTCACCTCAGCCTTCCAAAGCGCGGGAAGGAAGTGACACTTCATAGGGGATGCTGACATTTTACATTCAGGATACAATCCCTGTACCCTGCCCTGGGAAATATCCTGTAGCAAAGGTGTCCAACGTTGAGAAATAGTGTGAATCAATAGTGAACACAAACATGGTTAAAAATAAGTCTTAAAAACTATCAAGAGGTTCGAGACCTGCCTGGGCAGGCGAGACCTCATCTCTACAATAAATCAAAAAACTAGCTGGGCGGGGTAGCGCGCACCTGTAGTTCCAGCTACTCGGAAGGCTGAGGCGGAAGGATCGCCGGAGCCCAGCAGGTCGAGGCTGCGGTGGCCGGGAGTGGCCACTGCACCATTCTGGGTGACAGAGTGAGACTCCAACTCAAAAAAAAAAAAAAACTGTCAATAAAATAAATCATTTAAAACAACAGTCGTCATTACTCAGCACACTTTTTTTTTGTGAGTTGGAGTCTTATTCTGTTACGGAGACTGGAGGGCAGTGGCCTGCTCTCAGTCACTGCAGTCTTGATCTGCTGGGCTCAGGTGATTCTTCCGCCTCAGGCTCCCAAGTAGCTGGAATTACAGGCATGCACCATCATGCTTAGCTAATTTTTGTTGTTGTTGTTGAATTATTGTAGAGATGAGGTCTCACTAATTTGCCCAGGTTGGTCTTGAACCCGAGGACTCAGGCAATCCGCTCACCTCAGCCTCCCAAAGTGCTGGGATTATAGGCACGAGCCACCGCACCCAGCAGCACACTACTTTGGAATTCTGTAGCTGCACTTTTATGTCATTGAGCTCTTAAGGTGATTGTGTGCTCTTAATCTCCCCAGGTGAAAGGAACAGGAGGCTGGTGCTAACCTCTGTAAATCCAGCTTCAGGAATGTTCTGTGGTAGCTTGAAGCTGGTCACAGAGGCGAATCACCCCCAGAAAGAGGAAAATACAGCACACTGGGAATTAAGCTGGACCCTCCCACACAGTCCTGCAGGCGACACCCCTGCCCTCCGGCCTCACCCCCTCCTGAGCCAGCTCTGACCACACTGTGGCTCCCACAAACCCTCACGGGCGGCCACAGCACAGTGGGCCCGGAGAACTCTGTGCCCCGGAAAGGTTGAGGCAGCAACAGACAGGCCACACCGGTATTTCCACAGGAGGACTTAATGTCAGGAACTGGTCACAGGCCACACTGCTGATAGGGTGGCAGACAGGTGGAAACTGCCAGAAAGGGCAGCCCGGTGAGGGGGACTCAGGGAAGAGGCTGAGAGGACCAGATCCGGGAAGCCGGAGAAAGCCCAGGGATGAAGACCCAGAGCTCTGGGCGGTGTGGGTGCCGCTGGGGCCCCTCAGGCTGCTCTGGAAGCCTGCCCAGCTGAGCCGCCAGCCTGAAGGGCCATCTCTCCTAGCGCAGGGTCCAGGCCTCTGGCCTCGGTGTCCCCGGCCGCCTCCATTTTGGAGAAGGCAGACCAGCAGCAGGGAGAACAAGCTGCTCCCGCATCCTGGCCCGGAGCGGCCGTCCTGTGACCCAGCTGACCTTTCCCTGTCCCTGAGAAGGGGTCCCCAGGCCCGACAGCCCCCGAGTTGTCTCTGCCCAGCCCCTGGGTTCCTCCTGCTGGGCCTGCGACCGAGAGCCCAGGTCACCCAGCAGCCACCCAGCCAACCTATGTGGCATTGTAGCGGAAAGACAGAGAGGCCTTGACACCGAGGCTATTTTAGGAAGTAGCAGTTTTATTAGCGCCGCGCGACTCAGTGGGCTAACGCTCCCAGACTGAGCACCCCAGGGAGGGAGAAGAGGAGTCTTATACCATAGTTTAGGCAAGGGAGGGGGTCAGGTTGATTGACTATATATTTTCATTGGAATTTACAATGTTGTACTCAGCAAAACAAGATTTTCTTTTTTTTTTTTTGAGTTGGAGTCTCACTCCGTCACCCAGACTGGAGTGCAGTGGCACGCTCCCAGCCACTGCAGG